TGGAAAGAGTTGATGGTGAAAAAAAGTTAAATTTTATTGCAAGGGGCAAACAATTTTGTCGAATCCAAAATTAGAATTAAAGCTAGGACTAAAATGACTTATTTTGAAACCTTTTATGTTAATGGTATTTTAGGTAGTTTATATGGTTGAATGGTGAAAAGGGTTATTTTGGAGAGGTTATTTTGAAAAGGTTATGGTTGAATTTAGGTGATTTTCAATAATTTCCCAACATTTTTCATCAAGACTAACAGAAAAGGATTATCAGAAAGGTACGGAGTTGAATGGTCAGCCTAAACCAATAACACTGCAGTTTCCTACCTATTAAATTATTTGAATTCCTGACCTGCGAATCAGAAACAACTACGAGGCCTTACTCTTCTTATCTTATTTTCCCTTTTTCTATTGTCAAAATTGTGGTGGAAGAATAAAGGATAGTTCGGTGCCTTTTACTCTTACTCACATTAGTATTACAAAATTATTCATTTCATCGACTTTAGTGTTACTTTTAAATTTAATATATGAGGTAAGTTGTGTCACAATCACAATTGAAGAATACACAAAGTTGAGGATAAATACATGAAGAAACACACAGAAATAAACAAAAAAACTGGCAGCATTCCTACAGAGCTCTCTTGAAGAAACCATGATTAACAACAGTAGAAGAAGAGGAGGCAGAAGTGAAAAATAAAATTCTCTAGCTCTGTCTTAATTATACTTGAAAATTATTTGCATCATCAAAGTGGAACGCGGCAGTGTACTTGGGATTTTTTTAGTCAAGTCTAATAGGAGGTACTGAACAGTTAGCCTAAACCAGTAACGCTGAAGTTTCCTATCCAACATTCCCGGCGAATCAGAAACAACTTCAAGGCTCCACTCTTCTTGTAATTAATATAAATTGAAATCAAGTCAATCTCATCTCATTGAATTTTTGTTATTTTTTTATTTATTTCTAAATGCGGAAAAACAGAAATAAAAAGTGTGAAGATTTGGAATTTCTATATCGCTTCAGTTGTCACTTGAGCAAAATTGTGAAAAGAAGTTTACCAGGAAACAACAGTTTGTTGGATTGTCAATTGCTACTGTTTTACTACTTACAATTGTCAATTAGAATTTTAGAATCAGTGCCAAGAACACGGAATTGTCATCATGTCTGAACTTACTCTAAAGATTATATATTTGGCAAAATAAGTGATTTTAATTATTGTTGTTGTTTCTTTTTCGAGAAAATAGCCCTCGGAGCCCCTAACCTTTGCATGAATTAGTGCATGGGTCACAATTGCCAAGATAACTACAAAGATGAACAAGCTCAATATCCATTGCCACTCGTCTAAAGAGCATTGTTGTTCATACGACATAATGCTATTTTTCTTAATTTTCAAAAATTCAGTGCTATTTTTGTCAAATGGTTTGTCGATGGCTTATCACCGAGCCACGCTTGAGCAATAGAAGCAGAAGCTCCCTTGCTCGAGTGAAGGGCCGTAATTTTGAATTTTAACGTTATTTTCTCAGGGTTTTTATATTTACACATTTTTTTTTACCTATTTTCCTTCAAATTCTTCCACAATTCTCCAACCTACCCCCAATTTGTGTTATACTCACACTTTCAACATTCTAAATTAGTCAATTGTTGAGCTATTTCATTGAACCAACAATTTTCAAAAGGTAAATCGCTAAAACCTCTAGTTTTCTCTCGTTTTTGACATTTCTTTTAGGGGTTTATGATTTTTGGTCATTTGTGTTGTCATTGTTGGCATTTGCACTACATAGTTGTTCATTCTCATACAATGTCACCTATTATTGCACAATTTTGAACAAAAATTGGATTTTTGGACTGTTTTGGGTGATTTTCCTGCGAATTTTCTATTTGTTCTTCATTGTTTTCGTGCATTTGTCACATTGTAGACATCAATTGGTGTATTGGAGTGGTCGTTGGTGGTTGGTTGAGAGTTTTTGAATGGAGTTTTTATTTTTGGACGTATGTCTTTGGTATTTTTGGTCCGTATTTGGCGTAAGTTTTGGATGTTTCGATGGAGGTGGGTTTATTTGGTAGTTTGTAGTGTGTTGGTTGAAGTTTTTTGATTGAAATGGTGTTGAGTTCAGAGTGTTGGTGTCGTGTATATTGAGGTTGGAGTTCACACCACGTGGGGCTGTCACGTCACTGCGGCATGCCATCACGTTATACCTCATGTCTGCACGTCGCCTATGTCTAGGCTTCACGACATCTCTTTGTGCATTCATTCACAAGTGCATTGTATATGCATTTTTGCCTCATTTTGCGTGCATTCATGCATCTCATACATCTAATTTATTCGGTCGTCGTATTGATATGTTGGTTTTAACCATTTCAGATGCCGCCTAAGAGAGCTTGTATTGCCGCTTATACACTTGGTACCTCCACGTCTTTTCGTAGGTCTAGGTTTATTTCTGCTGCTGCCCAAGATACTTTTGGGTCATAGTTTTCATTGAGACCTATTTTGTTTGAGCTATTTTGTTTGAGCGCGAGGTCTGACATGTCATCCAACCTTGTTGCCATTTTCACTTCCCGAGGTTGGGAACCTTTATTGGTGGAGTTGACCCCTCCTTCTAGTCTTTTTGTTCAAGAATTCTACGCTAACATTCATGATGTTAGTGGTTCGACTTTTAGGGTTTTCCTTCAGGGTAGGACGGTTAAGATTACTCCCCACGTCATCTCAGTCTTGTTCATATTCCTAGGGTTATTTCCTTACCTATCTGTTGAAACACTTTCATTGGACTCTGTAGTCCGTTCTATGGTGTTTAACACATTGTTGGAGGGTGGTCCAGGTACGATGCGCACTAGTTCTCTTCCCACTGACCGACAGATTTTGTTGTGCATTGTGTACATAAATATGTAGCCAGTGTCGCATACCTCTTATTTACCTATGGAGAGGGCTCGATTTTTGTACGCCCTTTTACACGGCGACTATTGATTTGCCTACTTTCATATGTCAACAGATATTACGTGCCTTTCGTGTCATGGAGACTCGGGTGGGACTTCCCTATGCCTGTCTTATATATCTTCTTGTGTCAGCACTTGGCATTAGTTTTCCTGATGGGGTTTCTCTGAGGGTTTCTCAGCCAATTGGCTACACTTCTTTTGCTCAAAGTAGGTCGAATGCTTCTTTTGAGCCAATTGATCCAACTGTGCCAGCTGATCCTTTTGATGATATTATCTCTGTTGATCCATCCGATTCTCCTCCTACTTCCTCTGTTCCTCCGCCCTCTGAGACGTCTGCTCCTTTCCCTTTTGAGTCTATTCTATCTTCTGAGTCTATTCCCATCGACCTGTCTGTTGCTCTTATGGGGCAGATGACCGTGCTGATCGAGCAGCAGGCTCGGATGAGGCATAGCTTACCCTCTACGGGCTATAGTTGATCGACATACTACCGAGTTTACTACGCTTTGGGGTGCTGTTGGGTATCTTCAGCGTGGACTTCAATGGATTCGTCGTCACTGGGATGATGATGCCGCTTCAGAGGTGAGGACTAATTCTGACGATGCGGCCGATGCTGATTAGATTTTGGATTACCCCTTGTCATTTTGTGGGGGAGTAGATATTCTTGCTTTAACAAGATGTATACGGTTTTATCTACTTGATGTATCTAAATCGTTTGATTCTAATTATATGATATATTTTCA